AGGGCAGGGGAATGGGGAAAAAATAAGAACCAAGATGGATTATGTAAAGGTACAAATTTCCAATGATGACTGTCATTATATTGTATATGCAAAATGTACCAATAAAATTAATTTTAAAAATCTAGTTATGTTTTGTTATTTTAATTATAAACACTGCTCCACTAATCTTAAATTTCACAAAAAGAAAAATGTCTTGTGTTATTTCTATTTTAATTTATGGTCATATAAAAATGCAAGCTGATACTTAGGGTTTTCAGATTCAGCATTCCCTTTAATTCCTTCACTGTTGCATCAATGTTTGTTAACTCATTGTGGTGTAGCAGGAGAATATGCAAGGAAGGCAAGCAATGCAGCCCTGAAAAAAAATAAAATGATAAAATGTTAAGGATTTTTTCAGTTCATTATTTATTTTTAACATTGACAAATGAAAATAAACATTTTTAATGCTAATTCAACAGGCTAAAGAAAGGACTACATTATGAATGGTAAGAGGAGGAATACCTATTAATGATATTGTAGATTATTATTAAGCATAGAAAAAAGTGTAAGAATTCAAGCATCTGATTGGAATCTGGGAATATAGGAATAGTAGAATATTTTCCCACTATTATTATTTTTAGCAATAAAGTTTGAGTTTGGAGGGAGCATTTTCTTTCTTCTTTTTGTTTGGTTTTGTAATACATGTGTGTGTTTGCAAATGCTTCTTAAACTTATAAAGCCAATCAAGTGAATAATTACTCACCCAATTCACTGCTTTCCTCCAAATTGCTCAGTTAAGTACTTCCTTTATACAATAGGAAACCACATATTTATATCATTTTACTTTTTCCCGCATTTTTAATCATAAATAAAAGTGAGGTGATTCTGTGAGAAAGTTGAATCATAGTTTAATTGGCAAGAATGAAGATGGTACATGAAATTATGATGCACATTAAAATTTTGACATTTTGATTCCATGACGCATGATAGGAAATAAAAGTGTTGTTTTCTGTACTCCTTCACATTTCATAATCATGGCATGTTATATACTTTTATACCTGGCTTGAAATCATAAGCTTAGAGATCTTCGCACAGACATATGAAGTTAATTCAGAAAGGAAACAGGAATTTGATCAGTAAAAATTACAGTTAGTAATATCTTTTAAGACTATAAATATTCCATATTTATTAATACTCTCAAAATATTGTTAAAATTGGCTACCATAATATTTGTTTTGTATCAAAACTATTATTATAGTTCAAAGTTATTACTTAGTTAAAAAACTATTCAATCAACTGAGAAAACTTGAAACATACCTTCTATCTCAAATATTGCATTGTTGTTTAGATATAGTTCAGTCAGACAATAGTTTCTGGTTAAAAATGCTATCCCATGGAGCTGAAAATGAATGTTAGAAAATAATATAGTTTCTACAATAGTTACAGATATATTTACAGTTTCAAGAAGACAATAGAAATTTGACTTTTGCAGGTGTTATTTGTGACCTTTTGGACTGAGCAATGTGTTTAATCTGGATTGTCTTTGAGGACTTGTGTGATAAAAAGGATGATTTTAGTCAATTTAAAACAAACTTCTCTTCCCATATCGAGGCCAGGCTCCTTCATCTCACTTTCAAAGACTCTGTAATATTGCCTAGTCCTTTTGCTCCACTAGTTTCTCCTAGTTCTGCTCCATATAGTCTCATTGATCTGGGTGCACACATCCACTAATCTGTTAGTGTGTTATTATCACTAGCCAAGGGCTCTTCTCAGATAATGCTGTAGCCATTTCTGCATCCGTATGAGCCATGATTTCCCTTTGCCTATGAGTGCTTTCTTCCTGATACATGTCTGATTATGTTTAAAGATCAGCCCCAGGGTGGCAAGACACACCAAACCACGCTTGAGCAGACCATTACAGTACACTTTCACAATTTTAGAGGTTTGTTGAAACCATCCTTTCACCTCCCTGTGGCTCATGACTGACTTGTTGCTCTCCTTTGACCCACTTTTGTGTTTCTCTGAACTTCCACATGCTCTAGCCCTGTTAGTCAGATCTTGGGAATAATGGTCTAATTGTGGACTCTTGTTTGCCCTAGTCCCTAAACCATCTCTTGGTCTCTATTTCACTATTCTTCGAGCACACAAATCTCCTCAATTTAGCCAAAGACAAAGGAGGTGACACTGCCAATCAGCCCTGGTGCTAACAGGTCAACCAGCCACCAGCCACAACTTGAGGACAAGACACAAAATAACACAAATATTTCTGTTACTTTGCAGATAATCATTTTCTCAAGACCTTTCTTGACATCCCCTGTGTTCATGAACCTTCATTTTCTTTCCTACTTCACCATTTGACTTGTACAATCAATCACTAGATCACCTCAGTCTTGCATCTTCTTAAGAAAGAAACTCTATTTTTCCAGTATCTTATCCTTTCCACTTCCCTGCTCTCCTAACAATATGGTGAAGTTACATCTTAACTTTCATGATTTGATTTAAAATTCAGTGTGTATAAACTAGAAATAATCAAAAGTACTCTCTTAAAAATTTCTCAAATGAACTGTTAAGAATATCCATATATATTATACATATATAATGTATATATATATGGATATTCAATGCCAGAAATCTTTCTGTTATCCCACAGAGAACCTCATTTAAAGTATATTAACTCTATACTCTTGATAAAATTTCACATCTTTGTTTAAATTATGAGACATGCTATAGGTCAGGTAGCTATGTTGTAAGAGAAGCAGAAAAGTTAAAAATAAAATTGTTGTCTTTACTATTTAATGTAGGATCTAGCTAGGGAAGAGTCTCATGAAATAGTTACTGGTCAAATACTTACATATACAACAAGATATGCTTACGATTAAAATTTGTTTTTCTAAAGCTTATCATAGAAACTATTATTATTACCTAAATAGAAATGTTTTTATCATTGAGAAGACTTGGTTAAATAGATGCCAGCCCATCTGACAGTGAGAATTTATTAGAAATTTTATTTAATCTCCTCCTACCCCATAAATGCCACATCAGGTTGTATCCAAAGCTTGAACATTGATTTCTTTGGTAAATTTTCTTTAATTTCTTTTAATATTAATAACATTCACAGATCATGATGCTATAAAGGGTGTACACATCATTCACCTCATCATTCCACAGACTCATCTTCATCAAATTATGTCGGTACTCATTTGGCAGAACCACCAATAATTTTACCATGGCTTTCATTAAGGCCTGGGAAGAGCCATGTTTTCCCAAGGTAGGAAAAATCATTCAGAGCAAGAAGGGAAGAGTCTCCAGTGGCTTTTTGTGCCTTTTTACTTTTCCTCTTGGTCTCCTGGCAGCAATTCAGTACCTTATGTTTCTCCTCTCACCACTCCCTGCTCTAATAATAACCACACTTGACGCCAGGGTAGGAAAAGAAGACCGGTGGAAATCATAACCTTTTTATCTCTTTTCTAGTTATCTGCTGGCCACCCACAAATAGAACATTATTAATTGGTTGAGGCTAATTTCTCTTACATTACTCATCAATGTGAGAAGAACATTACTAAACTTGACAGTTTCATCTTGGCTATACAATCATAGCTTCCCCAAAATCACTGACATCCTGGAATCATGATTATTGGGATGTTAAGAGTGTATTGTTTACTGAGGTGAGGATGGGACAAGGAGAAAGAGACAAAGCCAGATCTTGATGACTTTGGGGAGCTATTAAAAGGTTTAAGCCAGGAATGGTGGCTCATGCCTGTAATCCTATCACTCTGGGAGGCTGGGACTGTAATCCTATCACTCTGTGACTGTCACATTTGAGTCCAGGTTGGGCAGTTTAGTAACTTAGCAAGACCTTGTCTTAAAAAAAAAGAAAAAGAGCCAGGGAGTTTGAAGGGCTTGGGTTTAATCCCTAGTACTACAAAAATAACAAAATCAACCAAGAAAACAGCAACAACAACAACCAAACCAAACAATAACCATCAAAACTGATAAATTGATTTAGTAAAGTTATAGGACCTAAAGTCAACATACAAAAAACAGTTGAATTTCTATGTATTAACAACAAATTCTCCAAAAAGGAAATTAATAGAACAATCCCATTTATAATAGCAATAATAACCAAAAATGCAGTGGTGCCTTGTTTCATGAACTTAATTAGTTCCATGACTCTGGTTGTGAAACGAAGTGGTTGCAAACCAAATCAAATTTCGCCATACAGTTCAATGTAAATAAGGTTAATCTGTTCTGATCCCCACCAATGTGGTCTCAAATGGATTTTGGTTGCAAACCAAATCAAATTTTTTCATAAGGTTTGATGTAAATAAGGTTAATCCATTCTAAACGATATGTATTTTTTAAACCACAAAAAATATGAAACAAAGTACAGTACAGTATGAAGAGAGAGAACAGTAACCTTGCTTGAGGAAACTTCTGGCATGGAGGACAGGAAGGTTATTGTTTGGAGAGAGTCCCCTCCCTAAAGACATTGGGGAGATCTCCTCTAGGGATTTCCTTTCTTCTTTGTCTCTCAGGAGCAGGGTCAATTTTGATGAAAAATCTGTCTAATGTCATTTGTTTTCTTCTGTAGTGCATAACCCTCCAGAATGAGAGACTGTTACTATTCATCAGATTCAACACTCTGTTTGTTACGGTTATGTTGGGGTGGTGCATCTCAAAGAAATCCTGGCACTCATTCCATTTCTCCATAATGGATTTTATCACATTTTTATCCTCCTTGTGTTCCTCTTCCTCAGTGGAATGGTCCTCAAGTACCTCAAGAACTGAACTCTAGAGTTCAGCAAGTTCTTCCGCCATCAGCTCCTCCTTGTAGTCCTCAGCAGCTCCTCTATATCTGCACCATCAACATCCAGACCCATACCCTTGCCCATGGACACACTCTCCTCCACTACCTGTACATCAGACCCTTCAAAGTCACATTCAGGGACATATTCTGGCCACACCTTCTTCCAGGGTGATTTTAAGGTCTGGTATGGAACATCTTTCCAGGCTTTGTCAATGAGGTCGATGCAGTGGAGGACATTGAAGTGTTTCTTCCAGAACTCTTTCAGAGTCAAGGATGTCTCTTCAGTCACATGAAAACACCTGGTGAAGACTGCCTTTGCGTATGGCTTCTTGAAGTTGCAGATCACTTTCTGGTCCATGGGATGCAGAAGAGATGTCATATTGGGAGGGAGGTGTCATATTGACTTTTAGGGAGTTATATTCAGTACCTGTTATGGCTTGTGTCTAGATGTCCCCCCAAAGCCTCATGCAGTCATAGGTGGGGCTTTTCAGAGGTGGCTGAATTTAGGGTGTGTGCTGCTAGCATAAATGATGTGATGCTGGGATTGATTCAAGGTGCTATGCTAGGAGTAAGGGTTCCCCACTTTGAGTGTGAATGCTACCCGCCCTAAGGGACAGAAAGAGGGTCATTGCTTGTCACTTGCTGCTTGTTGCCTTCTGCCTGCCTTACCCTTCTGTGGACTGTTTCTGTGATGTCCTCTGCCATGCCACCCTGCCTTGGAGCCAGCCAACTATGAACTGAAACCTTTACACACTGTGAGCTAAATAACTCTCCTTTAACTTTGGATGTTGGATATTTTGTCTCAGCAATGAGAAAACTAACTAAGATAGTGTCCATATTATCCAACCAGGCTGGAGGGTGTGCTGGCACATTGTCCATCAGAAGAAGGCACCTTTGAGGCAGTTGGTTGTCAGAAAGATATTTCTTAATGGTGGGTGTGAACACCTTGTGCAGCCATTCCATGAACAATTACCTTGTGACCCAAGCTTTTGCACTGGCCCTCCACATGACAGGCCATCTGGTCTTGTTCACATTGTTCTTTGAATGCATGAGGGGTCTGTGGATGGTGCACCAGTAGTGACTGAATCTTCAGTTGGTACACAGCAAAAGGGTCAATCTGCTCTTCACAGGCCTGTGCCCCACTAGTGCCTTTTCCTCTTGTGTGATATAGGTTCTGTTCAACATCTTCTTCCAGAAGAACCCTGCTTCATTGCTTGTTGAGCAATGTATCTTTCTGCCTTCATGAATTCCATGAATTCTTTCTTGTAGGCTTCCACAGTGGCCTTGTCAGAACTGGAACCCTCACCATGTCTTAACACATCGTGGGTGCCACTTCTCTTGCAGAATTTATCAAACCACCCTCTACTGGCTTTAAATTCATCACTTGTTGCACGCATAGAGGGGTTTTCTTGCATTAAATCACTGTGCAATTTCCTGGCTCTTTCACACATCATAGCTTCACTAATGGTATTTCTCATTCAACCACACTAACAAAAGTTTTTTTACCTCTTCCAGCACTTATGTCCTCTGCTTTCTTCTGATGGCATCTTTATTCTTCGAAATAGTCGAGATTGTCAACTTTGCCATCTTGT